ACAGGCCAGAGTCTGTGCTGCTGACTCTGACCCCTGTGCTTGGGAGGACTGTGTCCACTGCTGAGTCTACATCCGAATTTGATTGTGAAGAAAAAGGTCATTCATAGCTGTTGGACACTGAGTCACATAGAGGGAAAGAGGGCGGCTGAGGACACCTTATCTCTGATGTGCTTAAGGGAATTAGATCTGCTGGTGGAACAGGAAGATGAAGAAACCGGTGGCTCTAAACCTGGAATTTCCAGCCCTCAGTCTCTGCTGTCCATGTCCTCAACTGTATGTATCTTGGAAATGTGGACCACGTGGGTTAGAGGTGAAGGAGACTGGGAAGCTTTCACGTTCTCTCATCTCCCTTGGTTATATAACACACTCTTCTACACCTACTTTATCAGAGTTTCTGCTCTGCAAACATATCTGATCTCTAAATTAGAGAGATTTGAAAGTGCAGACAGATGCAGGAACTCGTTCATCTGGAGACTTTTCTCCCACTTGAAGCAGTGAACACATCTCTGCAAGGCTCAGAATTTCAAGTGACAGGATTTGGGGGTTTAAATGAAAACTAAATCTTTGGCTAAACCACGATACAAGAGGGAAGCTTCACAGGTGTCCCTGCTGCTTGGGCCTCAGTGAGGACTGACTCAGCCAGTCTCAGGCTCCTGGAGACCTCCTGGGAGGTCTGCACCAGGAACCCCTTTTCAGCACAGCCTGGGGCAGGTAAGGGACCCTTGCTCTCATATTCTCCTCCCTGATAATTTTGCATACAGAGAAAAATAAGAACCAGAGTCCAGGAAGATCAAGCCCCAAAGATGAGGTCTGCTCATTCTCCCATGACAGCCCTAGCTCTGCATTTCCAAAAGCAAGAGCACCTTCCCAGCATGAAGACCCAGGAGCAAAGAGGGAGCTTCTCACAGGGGTGAACAGGACAGAAGCTGCCTTGGTCAGTGGGAAGGAAACGTCTCAGCTCACATCTGATGTGGAATGACTTAGCCACACCTGTGCAGGATCGGCTGCATGTGAGCGTCATGTATTTGCTCCATGAGAAAATAAACTTGTGTGACTCTTCGGTAAAATCCTACCGTAAGCGACATTTCTCTGCCTATTGCTTCAACCGATGTTTTTCATCATTCACGTTAGGACACTGGCAGAAGGTAAGTGTGTCAGGTGTGGGCTGTATCGATTAGGAAAAGCAGAGGCTTCCTGTATCAATGCCATTACTTGTATTTGTGCCCAGAACTCATGGAACTGGGAAAAATAGAAAAGAAAATGATACTCTGCTCAAAAAAGTACCAAGAAATATGATTGTATTAATATAGCTACAACTTACTAATTGAGCTAATGGTACATTAACTTAGACAAGTTTTATGGTGGGATTCCTAACCCTAAAAGATTGTATTAAAATTTTTATCAGGTTAAAAGATCTTTAAAAGGTGGATGTTTGATTAAATCTGGAGTCTTTTACTTTGGACTGCAATCAGCCAACGACTGCAGGGTGCTGGCTGCCCTCCCAGGCCCTGACTGCCTCCATGTCCAAGTAAAGTAGCCATCCCCACAGGCAACTGGAAGAGCTGGCGAGGGGAAGGTGTTTGCATCAGGGCCTCAAAATTCAACTCAGGATTTACTCACGTTCCCTCCCCAAGCCCAGGCTGGTTCCAGGACATTAAGCGGTGAGCTTCATTATGTGTCTAGGACTTCCCTGGTCCTGCTCTTCATCTTCCTTCCCCAGTGACCTTGAGATTGTCACTCCTTCTCACTGGCCCTTCCTTTCCCTGTCAAGTGCACTCCCTGAATTCTCTTCTCCTGTGTTAGCAAATCTCTAGAACTTGAGGGAAAGCAGTGCTGGGTCACCACATGGGGCCCCGGAAAGCTGGTCCAGGACCAGACAGACACACAGGCAGCAGGGTGGCTCCCTATAAGGCTGCATGGTGGGTATCAGGCAGAGGAGAGGGACCAGGAAACACTCTCCTGGGTGTCTTCAGGATCAGGTGAACCAGGGAGGGGCTGGGACCTGGGCTGGACCCATGTGAGCCACACCTGTCCCCATCACACGACCATCTTCCTGGTCACAAGTGATTTTCTTTGCTATGCTGCCCCAGATCATCTAATTTATTACCTGTGAATTTCACACACTACACATCATTCCTGTCCTGATTTCTTCACTTGTGAGCAAATGTCACAACTGACCTGAACTGGCTTACATCCCAGATCCCCTGCAGGCTTCCCACCGTCTCTTGAGATCCTCACACACCCAAGACCCTTCCCTGCAGGGCACAGACATAGCTCCCTGCACACATTTCCATCACGTATTTCTTCACTCCTTCCTCAAAGGAGCTCCACAGACTCCTCTTCAGGGAGGCTTCTCCAACCACTGAATCTACAGGATCCGACCACTCAGCTTCTGTTGAAACTTGCCATGATTATCTGCATAGAGCCTACAATCCCATGTTTATTTTTTCTATCATGATCTTTTGATTGCTTAATTTCTATGAATCATTGCATTATTCGTCAGAAATGATTTTTTACTACAATGACGCATGTGGCAGGAACCAGGGAGCATCCAATCTTCTCCCACAAAAAGAAGTCTGAGCGTACTTGGTGGTCGTTTTCCAGATGTGCAGCAGTTTAATAGGAACTCAGATATTTCTAACTTTCCATTCCCGTCAATGCAATGCTGACTTTGCTTTCATTGTGGTTGTGTAAGACCTCAGCATGGCTCCTGCAGCTCCGGCTATCACACCATGTTCAAGAGAAAAAGCAAACCACAAATCCAATAGTGTCCTTCCTTCACAAGAGGAAAACTTCCCTGAGAAGAACCTCAGCCACCTGACTCTTACATATCATGGACCAAAGCTGGGCTACATGGTCACTGCTGGCTGGGAGAATCTGGGAAGTTGCCTGGCTTTCATGTGAATAGAGGGGATGACGCACAGGTAGAAGGTGGTGGGGAGTGTCTCCTGGTCTGTAAACCCAGGGTGCCCACGGCACTGACTCAGAAACAGGAGAAGAAACTCCTCAGAGCAAAGATGGTGTCTTCTTCATGCTGAATTCCTAAAATGCATTCTGGCCAGGACAGTGTGGGTCAGGGTGAATGTTTGTTCGGTAAATGAGCTTCTGTCTCTGATGTCTTTCAGGAGTCACCAGCAACACACATTGGTCCTGTATTTGTATCCAGAACCAGTCAATGTCACCTCTGAGTCCTGTACCTCTCAGCACCAAGCCACACCCAGAGATACATGCAGGGAGCCTCAGGAGGGTCCTGTCACCTCCTCCTGCACATGGGAGTGTTTGTATTTCCATCAGGAATCTGAGTGGCTTGTGCTGGGTCTTGAGGCAGGAAGGGGTCACACAGAGAAGAGGAATTTCTCCCTGAGGTCAGCAATCCATCAATCAGGGAATCAGGAACCTGAGCAGCAGATTGTGAAGCTAACCTGGATCCAGGAGGCCCCTGAGCCACCAGCAGCCATTGTAGAGTGGCCACCAGATGGCAGCAGAGAGTAACCTGAGAAAAACACCTGGGGACTGGGGGAGGGGGTCTCCGTATCAGGGGGACATTGACATGCAGGGAGCGTCAGTGACCAAGAACTGAGACCTGGAAGGAAATAGATTCATAGATTCATCTTTTCTTAGTGTGTTTGTCCTTGACACTGATGTTTACATTCTTCTGACGTCCTGGTTCTCAGATCTGACTCTTGGGAGATGGTGCTTATTTTTCTGACACAGAGTCAGGCACTTCGCCTCTTCCCATCGCCCTGGCCCCCATCCCACGGTCACACGTGCCATCCCATTCTGCAGTCACTCATGTCCCTCCTCCCTGCCCTTTGCTCCGGGAGCCCCCGTCCTGCAGACACAGCGGCTTCTCCTTCCCCGCCACTCCTCTATGTTCCCCACTCTGTCCTGGGATCCTGCCAAATCACAGCTCTTGATTTCCTCATGAGGCACAGAATACTTGCTCATTAATCTTCTGTTGACTTCAGTTTTCATCCATTGGTACATTTTTCCAGCAACTGAAGACAACTTACTTACAATAGACAGTCACTTCCAGGGTCTTGGAGTTTGCAGTCCCCTCTCATTCTCTCATGCAGAAGACACTTCCTTACCTCCTGATCTGTCCTTCATCCTGACAGCACCCTGGGCATACTGAGGCACAGCACCTATGACACGGCACTAGAACTCACAGCCAAGGTAGAAATGTACTGCATCCCATAGATCTTCCACAACTCTATGTGCACGCGGCACCCAAGAATTGCATTTTCCTCTAGCACTGAGGAGCTGTGCCCTGGGGTGGGACTTGTACCTGTCCAAGGCTTGTGCTGTCCCCTGTAGAGTGGGAATGAAGAGGGCCCCTGCACTGGGCTCTGGAGTGTGTCTTCAAAAGGGATTTAAGCCTATACCAGACATCTCATGTCTGACATCAAGTATTTATGATCAGGACATTACTGGAGAAGTAGAACAAAGTTAACCACCAGCCTCCCGAGCCAGGATGGAATGGAGGAGGGGGCTGTGGGCCCAGGTAATTCTCCCACCACTGTGACTCTGGAAATCTCCTCAACAGGCCAACCACTATTCTAATGGAAAACCTTTATGTCCTCTGGAGAATACAGGGAAACTCAGCTCTGAGCTTTTCCATGTCCAACCCAGCCCAGAAGCAAGGCTGGGCACAGTCTGGGTAAAGACATGAGCCCTGACTATGGGACCAGTGGGTGAAGAAGAATCCCATGGGCGGAGGGGGTGGATAAGCAGGGGTCACCCCTCCTCCTTCTGTGTCCCTTAGGGCTGAGCCCTTCTCTGGAAACCACAGAGCTCCTCCAGCAGCTGCCCCTGACTCTGCTGATTTGCATCACGGGCCGCTCTCTCAGCAAGGGGATAAGAGAGGCCTGGGAGGAACCTGCCCAGCCTGGGCCTCAGGAAGCAGCATCGGGGAGCCTCAGCCATGGCCTGGACCCCTCTCCTCCTCGGCCTCCTCACTCACTGCACAGGTGCTTGTCACAGGGTCTCACCAACCTGCCCAGCCGCAGGGCTCTGGGTCCAGCGTGGCCTTGAGTCTGAGCTCAGCAGGGCCCTGCCTGTGGTGGGCAGGATGCTCATGACCTGCTGCAGGGGGAGGGGCTGGCGGGGCTGAAGTCCCCCACACTCTGCTCAAAGGCTTGTGAGAGCCTGAGGGGTTGCCCCTGCCAGGAGAGAGGAGTGGGTTTTCAGGTCAAAGGCTCCATGCAACAGGAAAGTCCATGGGCCACTGGGACTGGGGCGGATTGCAGGGGATACCCTAAGACCTCACAGACTCTCTGGAGCTTGTCCCGGGCCAGGAGAACAGGGGATTTAATAAAAAGGGTCTTGCACCTGCAGCAATGCTATCCTCTTATTCTCTTTGTCTTTGCAGGCTTTGCGGCCTCCTATGAGCTGACTCAGCCACGTTCCGTGTCAGTGGCCCCAGGACAGACGGCCAGGATTACCTGTGGGGGAAACAACATTGGAAGTAAATATGTGCACTGGTACCAGCAGAAATCAGGCCAGGCCCCTGTGCTGGTCATCTATTACAATAGCAATCGACCCTCAGGGATCCCTGAGCGATTCTCTGGCTCCAACTCTGGGAACACCGCCACCCTGACCATCAGCGGGGTCGAGGCCGGGGATGAGGCTGACTATTACTGCCAGCTGTGGGACAGCAGTAATAAACATCCCACAGTGACACAGGCAGATGGGGAAGTGAGACAAAAACACCCTCCCAGCCTCTGTCACCCTCTACTCCAGCCTCGGGAGGCCTGTGGATAAAACCATGAGTGAATCTGGGTCAGTTCACCTGGATCTGAGCCCCCAGGCTGCCCTTCCCTCNTTGGTAGAGATGGGGTTTCACCATGTTGACCAGGATGGTCTCGATCTCTTGACCTCGTGATCCACCCGCCTCGGCCTCCCAAAGTGCTGGGATTACAGGCTTGAGCCACTGCGCCCGGCCCTTCCATGTTTATTTTTTCTATCATTATCTTTTGATTGCTTTATTTCTATGAATCATTGCATTATCCGTCAGAAATGATTTTTCACTACAAGGACACATGTGGCAGGAACCAGGGAGCATCCAATCTTCTCCCACAAAAAGAAGTCTGCGCGTATTTGGTGGTCGTTTTCCAGATGTGCAGCAGTTTAATAGGAACCTCAGATATTTCTAACTTTCCATTCCCGTCAATGCAATGCTGACTTTGCTTTCATTGTTGTTGTTGTAAGACCTCAGCATGGCTGCTGCAGCTCCGGGTATCACACCATGTTCAAGAGAAAAAGCAAAGCACAAATCCAATAGTGTCCTTCTTTCACAAGAGGACAAGTTCTCTGAGAAGAGCTTCAGCCACCTGACTCTTACATATCATGGACCAAAGCTGGGCTACATGGTCACTGCTGGCTGGGAGAAACTGGGAAGTTGCCTGGCTTTCAAGTGAATAGAGGGGATGACGCACAGGTAGAAGGTGGTAGGGAGTGTCTCCTGGTCTGTAAACCCAGGGTGCCCACGGCACTGACTCAGAAACAGGAGACGAAACTCCTCAGAGCAAAGATGGTGTCTTCTTCATGCTGAATTCCTAAAATGCATTCTGGCCAGGACAGAGTGGGTCAGGGTGAATGTTTGCTGGGTGCATGAGCTTCTGTTTCTGATGTCTTTCAGGAGTCTCCAGCAACACACATTGGTCCTGTATTTGTATCCAGAACCAGTCAGAGTCACCCCTGAGTCCTGTACCTCTCAGCACCAAGCCACACCCAGAGATACATGCAGGGAGCCTCAGGAGGGTCCTGTCACCTCCTCCTGCACATGGGAGTGTTTGTATTTCCATCAGGAATCTGAGTGGCTTGTGCTGGGTCTTGAGGCAGGAAGGGGCCACACAGAGAAGAGGAATTTCTTCCCTGAGGTCAGCAATCCATGAATCAAGGAATCAGGAACCTGAGCAGCAGATTCTGAATCTAACATGGACCCAGGAAGCCTCTGAGCCCCCAGCAGCCAGTGTAGAGTGGCCACCAGATGGCAGCAGAGAGTAACCTGACAAAAACACCTGGGGATGGGGACGGTTTCGGTATCAGGCAGACACTGACATGCAGGGAGCGTCAGTGACCACGACCTGAGACCTGGAAGGAAATGGATTCTTCTTTTCTTAGTGTGTTTGTCCTTGACACTGATGTTTACATTCTTCTGACGTCCTGGTTCTCAGATCTGACTTTTGGACATGGTGCTTATTTTTCTGACACAGATTCAGGCACGTCGCCTCTTCCCATTGCTCTGGCCCCCATCCCACGGTCACATGTGCCATCCCATTCTCTAGTATCCCACCTCCCTGCCCTTTGCTCCTGGAGTGCCCGTCCTGCAGACACAGCGGCTTCTCCTTCCCCGCCACTCCTCCATGTTCCCGACTCTGTCCTGGGATCCTGCCAAATCACAGCTCTTGATTTCCTCATGAGGCATAAAATGCTTGCTCATTAATCTTCTGTTGACTTCAGTTTTTATCCATTGATACATTTTCCCAGCAACTGAAGACAACTTAGTTACAATAAACATTCACTTCTGGGGTCTTGGAGTTTGCAGCCTTCTCTCATTCCCTCATGAAGCAAATGTTTCCTTTACCTACTGATTTGACCCTGTCCTGAAAGCACCCTGGGGATACTGAGGCACAGCACTTATGACCTGGCACTGAAACTCACAGCCAAGGTAGAAATTTACCACATCCCATAGATCTTCTACAACTCTATGTGCACGAGGCACTCAAGAATTGCATTTTCCTCTAGCATTGAGGAGCCGTGCTCTGGGGTGGGACTTGTACCTGTCCAAGGCTTGTGCTGTCCCCTGTAGAGTGGGAATGAAGAGGGCCCCTGCACTGGGCTCTGGAATGTGTCTTCAAAAGGGATTTAAGCCTATACCAGACATCTCATGTCTGACATCAAGTATTTATGATCAGGACATTTCTGGAGAAGTAGAACAAAGTTAACCACCTGTCTCCTGAGCTGGGATGGAATGGAGGTGGGGGCTGTGGGCCCAGGTAATTCTCCCACCACTGTGACTCTGGAAATCTCCTGAACAGGCCAACCACTATTCTAATGGAAAACCTTTATGTCCTCTGGAGAATACAGGGAAACTCAGCTCTGAGCTTTTCCATGACTCACCCAGTCCAGCACTAAGGCTGGGCACAGTCTGGGTAAAGACGTGAGCCCAGACTATGGGACCAGTGGGTGAAAGAGAATCCCATGGGTGGAGGGGGTGGGCCCTCAGTGGTCACCCCTCCTCCCTCTGTGTCCCTTAGAGCTCAGCCCTTCTCTGAAACCACAGAGCTCCTCCAGCAGCTGCCCCTGACTCTGCTGATTTGCATCACGGGCCGCTCTCTCAGCAAGGGGATAAGAGAGGCCTGGGAGGAACCCGCCCAGCCTGGGCCTCAGGAAGCAGCATCAGGGGAGCATCAGCCATGGCCTGGACCCCTCTCCTCCTCGGCCTCCTCGCTCACTGCACAGGTGCTGCCCCCAGGGTCTCACCAACCTGCCCAGACCCAGGACTCTGGGTCCAGCGTGGCCTTGACTCTGAGCTCAGCAGGGCCCTGCCTGTGGTGGGCAGGATGCTCATGACCTGCTGCAGGGGGAGGGGCTGGTGGGGCTGAAGTCCCCCACACTCTGCTCAAAGGCTTGTGAGAGCCTGAGGGGTTGCCCCTGCCAGGAGAGAGGAGTGGGTTTTCAGGTCAAAGGCTCCATGCAACAGGAAAGTCCATGGGCCACTGGGACTGGGGCAGATTGCAGGGGATACCCTAAGACCTCACAGACTCTCTGGAGCTTGTCCCAGGCCAGGAGAGCAAGGGAATTAATAAAAAGGGTCTTTCATCTGCAGCAATGCTATCCTCTTATTCTCTTTGTCTTTGCAGGCTCTTCGACCTCCTATGAGCTGACTCAGCCACACTCGGTGTCAGTGGCCCCAGGACAGACGGCCAGGATTACCTGTGGGGGAAACAACATTGGAAGTAAATATGTGCACTGGTACCAGCAGAAATCAGGCCAGGCCCCTGTGCTGGTCATCTATGATAATAGCAACAGGCCCTCAGGGATCCCTGAGCGATTCTCTGGCTCCAACTCTGGGAACACCGTCACCCTGACCATCAGTGGGGTCGAGGCCGGGGATGAGGCTGACTATTACTGTCAGGTGTGGGACAGCAGTAGTGATAATCCCACAGTGACACAGGCAGATGGGGAAGTGAGACAAAAACACCCTCCCAGCCCCTGTCACCCTCTACTCCAGCCTCGGGAGGCCTGTGGATAAAACATGAGTGAATCTGGGTCAGTTCACCTGGATCTGAGCCCCCAGGCTGCCCTTCCCTCCAGCCCCCTCCAGGAGTCTGGGTCTGAGCCCCCAGGATGCCCTTCCCTCTAGCCCCCTCCAGGAGTTTGGGTCTGAGCCCCCAGGATGCCCTTCCCTCCAGCCCCCTCCAGGAGTCTGGGTCTGATCCCCCAGGCTGCCCTTCCCTCCAGCCCCCTCCAGGAGTCTGGA